GTCCATCCCACAGGTCTTTGCAGCTTTGTCCCTGACTAAAGGTCCTCACAGAGACAGCGATAACAAGAACACACACACTTGGTTAAAAACTATATATATAAAATATCACAGGCTGCCTTCAGAGTTTTGTTCAGTTAGAAAGTCAATGGACATTAAAAAAAAATGTATATGTTGCAAAGTATTTGATACAAGAAGCTAAAATCAGCATAAATAGTCACATTTAAACCTTGAAGCTAATTAAAGATGGTTGAAGAGAAACTTGAAACTTTGATGGAATGATGCTCCCATGAGGTCAATGTTTTAAAAACGTGAAATATTTCCCATATAATGTTGTGCTGGGTGATAATTACAGTCAGAGATAAACATCATTTATTGTCCAGTGTTAGATTTTTTTAAAGTAACTTATGGCATTTAGGACAAAAAGATCTTCATCATATTTTTTTTAAAGCCATAAAAATATAGCAATAATGAATGAAAAATACTTTTATTCATCCCAGAAGGGAAATTCAATTAATTATCAATAATGTGTTCCCATGTGTTTTTTTTTGTTGTTTTTTTTAAATGGAAAAAACACATCGGGTAAAAGAAGCAGAGAAATCTTCAGCAGTTTCTGAGAAAAATGTCAACGTGAGAAAAAACCTGCTGAAAGTGGGTCGAATGGTAGTTTAAAAAAAGTCAGAGATAAGATAAAACTAACGCTCCAGAAAAACTGGACAAGTCTTGGAGGAACTGCAGACGTGACCGGAGCTTGTACAGCTTCACACACGTACAGGAAGAAGCTGGTGTCAAATCTGCAACCAACCGAGACCAAGCCACCGTATCTGATACACCAGTCAAAGATCTACACGATAAAAACTACAGAATAACACTGAACATCTGAGGTTTTTATCTCTATCAGCTGCTCAGATGTTGTCGTTCCAACAGCTTTCATTTCAATGTGAGAAGAAAACCGCTCACAGTGTGTCTCCAGGCAGAAAGGATTCGATGTATGAAGCTGAAATTTCACAAACATCTTTAGAATTTTTTGCATTTTATGCCAGAAAAGTTTCTGTCAAATCGGAGCCGGCTGAGCAGAACACGAGGTCCGTCTCACCTGTCCGTCTCCGCTCTGCCTTTCTCCTGCCAGGTTTCCTTTCTCCTCCGCTTTGTTCTCCTCTTTTCTTGGTCCTCCTCCATCTCCCTCGGCTTCCTCCTCTTCGGCCTCCTCTTCCTCCTCCTCCTCCTCTCCTGGTGTCGGCCCGGCGGTGGTGGCGCTGGTCGGTTTGGGCTCGCTGGCTGCTGCCGGAGCCTCTTCGTCGCTGTACTGCTCGGCTTCCTCTTCCTCCTCCACCCCCTGAGGGAACACAGAGTTTACTTCCTCCTGATGAACACACAATCCAGAGATTAGACCCAGCCGGAAACACACATTAATGCAGAGATTTACAAAGTTCTCTAATCTCTAGCAACAACAAATGGTATCACAAAATAGCAAACAGATAAGAGAGTTTCTGTGAGTCGTGTTTTACCTCTGAGTGGGAGCCGTTTTCCTCCGGGTCGGCGCTGTCGTAGTCAGAGAGGACGGCTGCAAAACACAGACATGAGTGAATTAAGAACTGATTTAAAAGGGATTCTGCAGCAGCTGTAACCGCTGTTTAACCCTCTGAACCCCAAAACCTGCTGATGGTGTTGAAAAACTTTATCGTTAAAAAAAAGAAGTTGCCAAAAGTTTAGGATTTATCAACCAGAAACTGCAAAAAATAGAAATAATTGTTGGATTTTCAGCTTTTAAATGGTCCTTGAACGCATCATGTGTGAGTTCTATAAAGAAAATGAACCAAATCTGAGCTGAAAATTGTTTCAT